AATTTTATTAAAGATAGGAACAATTCCTAACAATATTCTAAATATTTTATTTGAAGGAAGTTATGAAGGCCTCAACAACAATCAGATAATAGGGTCATCTTCCTACCCTGGTATGAGACATTATCAATGGTTGAGAGGTCCTATCAACCATCTTCAAAGAGAACGAAGATCTGAGTATGTGGTGAATATAATTCATTGCATCATAGATTTTTTCAACATGTGATGATCGCTTCTCGTGGAATTCATTTCTAGAAGGGAAGATAATATCATGGATATACGCATATAAGCCAATATTTACTTATATAAATAAGTAGAAGTAAATAGAAGTAAGTAAAAGTAAGTTAATTCTATAATATCTTCTATAGAAGCTTCTTAGAAGCTTCATAGACACTGCTTTGATTTTATAGGTGTCTTTAATTGACTTTTTGGATTAGAAACGTAGTGAGCAAGTTGGCCATGTACTATACATATTGTTAGCTTGAAGACCAAGCTAACTATGTGGGCCACACTTAGAAAAACTTACCTTGTAAGTCAAGACATGTGTCCTACAAAGTCAACACATATTGGAGGTCCTATAGAATATTGCCATGTAGCCCCTAATTAGATAGTATACACAGAAACAAGAGTGAAGCCTTCTTCACTCTTATCAACTCCTTTCTTACTTCTACTCTAGTTTCAAGAGTCTCAATTTTTCTTGTCTTTTGGTAATAAGCCTTTTTAATTTCTTTTAATATACGTACTTTCTTATTTCTATTTTGTCACTCTTTCTTAGATATGGATTTCATTGGTTTATGCATCATCTTTTAGTTCATGTCCTTAACACCAATCACCATTTGGACCAATCTATAACCTATCACAAAATAAGTTCAAGATATATAATAATAAAAATTTGGCTAAGAATTTTATATGTCATTTTCAATCTTCAACCATGGCTTTTATCTTATTTGTGAAGAAAAAAGACAAATCTTTGCAGATGTGTGTAGACTACCAAAGATTTAACAAGATCACCATCAAGAATAGATATCCTCTAGCTTTAATTGTAAGTTTTTTTATCAACTAAATCAAGCAAAGATCTATACAAAAATAGATCTATAAAGAGCATATAATCTGGTATGCATTAAAGAAAGAGATGATTGAAAAATTACATTTCAAACTAAGTATGGACATTTTGAATATAATATCATGTCTTTTGAACTCATGAATGCACTAACTGCTTTTCAACATCTAATGAATTATGTCTTTTGTGAGTTTTTTGAGATCAATGCTGATGCCTATTATAAGGAACAACTATAATTTAATGTGGGTGATAAGATATGATTACTTTGTTGCAATATTAAGACTACTCGTATTTGTCAAAAATTGGACTATTGTAAGCTGAGACCTTTTTCTATTTGTGAAAAAATCAATCATCTTGCTTATCAATTACATCTATCAAAATCTATAAAGATCCACCTTGTATTTCATATATCTCTTCTTGAGCCATATAAGATAGTTGATATTTTGAGAAGAAGACAATTGCCACCTCTTTCTATAAAAGTAAATAATGATCAAAAGTTTGAGGTAGAAGAAATCTTAGATTCAAGGCAATACCAAAATAGATTAGAATATCTTGTTCATTAGTATAGATATGATATTAGTGAATGCACATGGAAGCGAGCAAAGAATTTTACAAATACAACAAAGAAGGTTGAGGCCTTTCATTGACTATATCTATTAAAACCAAGATAAAAAAATTGTAAGATCCATGAAAGATGATGACCAATCTTCGTAAAACTCGTACTTAGAAAGGAAGATAATATCATCGATATTTATATTTATTCTAATAGTTACTTATATGATTAGGTAGAAATAAATAAATATAGATTAATTTTATAAAGTCATCTAAAAGAACTTTCTAAAAGATTCATAGACAAGGTTTTGACTTTAGATGTGTTTACAGGTTAGAAACTTAGTCAACAAGTTAATCACGTGTTGGTAGATTGTGGAATAACTTAACTCTTTGTAATAACTTGTAAAATAAGCTAACTATGTGATACATATATAATTAACTTACCTTATAAGTTAAGATATGTGGCTAGCAAAGTCAACACATATTGGAGGTCCTATAGAATATTGTCATGTAGCTCTTAGTTAGAAAATATATATAGAGGTAAGAATGAAGCCTTTTTTACTCTAGTCAATGCCTTTCTAGTCCTTAGTCTTGTTCTAAGACTTTCTACTCTTCTTGTTTTTGGTAATAGCCATTGTAGTTCAATATTATATCATCTTTGAGTGATTTTTTAGTTCCTTTCAATGATAGAAGAGTCTATCAAGGATTTTCTTTCTTCAAGATTCATGTCCTTGATATATATTGATTTTAAATATATAAATTTTCTCTTCTTCAGATTTATGTACTTTATATTATATCACATTGTTTTAATTCATTACTATATAATTATGAAAAAAAAAATACATATGAGAAGGTTGAATAAGTTGTTTGAATTTATGCTACATACAAATTATAATCTTGTAGACAATACCAATCTTTTTCAAATTTTCTTTTTATTTCTTATTCTTTTTTTTTCTTCAAACATTGATATTTTATCAAATTTATGTCATATACAAATTAGAAATTATGAATTATTATTGCACTTTATATTGAAAAAATTTAAAAGTAGACATGTAGTTTTATTAAGACTTTGTTAAACTTCAACATGGTTGTTTCCTATTTTTGACTTAAACAACATCAAAGTTCATAAATTTTTTATTTTTTATTTTTTTTTCTGATTCTTTTCTTTTCTTTGAATGTTAGTATTTGAAGGCGGTGATTCTACCATAAGTGAAGATCATGCTAGCAAAGATTTCATAAGCAACAACTAAATTTTTAAATTATAGTGCTTTAGTTATTGTTCCAACACTAAGTGATGCATTTATTCCAGATTGAGTATTGATAAATCATGGGAGAAAATTACCATTGACATTGTGCACATTGAAGTACCTTCTCAATTGCTATTAATATGCTATTATTGTGCTTTGCATTGTATTATAGAAAAATTACACAAAAGTTCTAATTCATTAGGTAGAATTAAGTGACAATACTCATTTATTACAATCAACATCAATTTTTTTTCACTACTTGAATTCATTTTATTACAAAAATCTCTAATTTATAGAAGTATTCTCCATCAAATGCTTAAATTTTTTTGATGATTCAAAACCAAGGATTCTAAACTTGGGCTTTATCTTTATTATGATTGATGTTGTATTACATTGTGAGTTGGATATTTTGGATTGTCTTGCTCCAAAGCAAGCAAATGAATTCATTTGCAATAATTTTATGATAATCAAAGTTCACTTACTTCAATCAAATTCACACAATAAAATGATTTATTAAAGACATCATAATAAATTGCTTTATTGGACTTTTTGATATCATAATTTTGATAGATTTTATTAGATTTTTTTTTATAAAGTCAAAATTATACTTAACAAACAACAAGTTGTTGGTAATGGAAAGGATAATTAAATTGAAAAGTTGATTATAAGGAGAATTTGAGCAATTATTATTTTTGAATACTCTAAAGTGTAGGCATGAAGACTAAAAAGGCAAAATGTCAACTTTTTTCAAACCTTCTCTAAAGGATCCATGAATAAAAGAATTTTGTATTTAATTTTTTTGATTCTCTATTTTACACATTTCACATCTTTTGACAATCGTCTTTCTCTCTTTTACAATAGAAGCTAAAATCTCATTGTTTCATTACATTTGCATTCAATTTCCTTGCCTTGCATAATGACCTTTTTTAGTACCTTATTGTACCTACTATCTTTATTCCTAAGAGGATTCAACTATTATACCACTTTCCTATCTTTAAAGAATAGTTCTATAAGTTTCATTGTTGGTTGAATATTTTGGGCTTCCTAGACATTTTGGATATGATATTTAAAGATTTGTGACAAACTTATGTGATTCACAAGAATATCAACAAATTTTAGATGAGATTTAGGCACTTACCACAGTTGCGACATAGAGGTCAAGGTGAGAGAGTGGAAAAACAACGGAAGGTCAAGGAAGAAGTAAGATCATCTTCAATTTACTGGATGCCTACATTTCAGCAAGGTTCAATTCATTTACAGTGTCTCAAAAATGCTTCACTTCCAAGGAAGAATCAGACTCAAAGTTTGAAAGTCGAGAAGGAAGAAGAAGAAGAGGCCAACTATGAATAGTTGTTTGTATCTTCATTTGATAGTAATATGTAAAGGAAGTTGCAATTTTTGTTGAATTTGGTGATGGTCCTAGGAATTAATTTATTTTTGGTGTATTAAATTGAGAGATCTCATTTGGTTTTGTATTTGAGGAATTGAAAAATTTGCAAGGAATTGGATATGGAATTTGAGGGTTGTAACAAAAAAATCCGAATACGAGTATTTGCCATAAAAGATAGTATTTACAATAATTTAAGATAATATTTGTAATATTTGTAGCATTTTTACAGTTACATATTTATAATTTTATAGTTTTAAAGTTCATAAGAAATAGAATCTTATGAGAAATAAAACCATTTTATTATTTTATAGTTTTTTAATTTTATATTAATATTTTTTATTTTTTTAATTATATTTTTTATATTTTTTTATTTATATAGATATATTAATTATTTTAATAATTTTCATATTATGTTTATCATATTATATTTCATATTATATCTTCATTGTAAACAAAGTTTTATTGGAAATTTAAAAGTATTGTCAACTACAATAAGAATTGTTATACAAAAATTTAATTGTAAAAATTTCATTTCCTAATTTTATGCTTTTATTTTCAATTCTGTATTTTATTTCTTTCTTTTCTAAAAAAACTTTGAATTTTGTTTTTAGATCTCAAACACCTCTTTCAAAAAATCCTTCATTTGAGTCACACTTTTTGTGACAATGACATGGATTCATCTAGTTAGTTAGTAAATATGTTGTATATTGTATGTTATATAAATATATATATATATATATATACATACATACATAATTATAAATTTTTATACAAATACGTTTATGTTTTAGAAACTAACTTTGATATTTATTAATTAAACAGTTTAAATCTAAATAGTTATACTAAACAATAGAATTTTTCTCATAAGTCAAAAGATTAGGTTTTTTTATATTGATAATAATTACATATTTATGTGAATTTTTCTTTTAGTTTTTTATAATTCATACATTGAAATATAATCAATTTAAATTTTATAAAGAGAAAATTTTACAATGACAATGTTACCATCAACTAATATTGTATTAGAAGAAGAGATTGACAAAAAATTTGAGCCGAGTGAAGAAGGTAATCAAATTTTGAAACAATAAAGAATACATAGTAAAACATGTAATAAAAATAGCTTCTTTCAGAATTATACAAGTCATTTCAATTCCAAGTAGAATAATTATTAATGCTCATTTTCCATAATTCTTACACAAAGTCAAATTTGTGATAATCTCAACCCATCTTTCAGAAACATGCACAACAATTTACATACAAAAATAGTCATGTTGATAGAGCAAGAACGAGCAATTAGGGTTTGCAACAGATCACATGCACACATGATAGCTCACAAGAGTATACATAAATTACATATGTTTAATGTTTTTTTATCAACAAACTCAGCTTTACCACAATTACATAAACCCTATGTCTCACAACGGTCCACAATTCTGCAAAATAAATAAATAGAAAGAATAGAAAAAAACAATAATAATCACCAAAAAACTTACCTTCACTTTTCAACTTCAATTTTCAACAAATGAGAGATTACAGAAAAGGAGAACGATCAATTATTTCAAAGTAGAAAAAAATATATAAATTTTGTTCCCTAATACTGAGAAATGTGGGCATACAACGACGTCGCCAAGGGTAGAAAATCGGAAGAATCATCACAAAAAAAGTTGTTTTTCGTAGAAGAAGATGAGAACCAACAGTTGGGTAAATGTGTGTATGTGTGTGTGGAAAACTGGAAAGATAGATTGAAGGATTGTTTCGTTGTGTTGAGTGTGTGTGGCGGAGTTTGTGGATCGATGTGGCAGAGCTGGTGGAGTATGCGAGGTGGCTGGGCATGCGATTGCCGGAGTACAATGACCTGCTGTGGATCGCACGAGAGGGACTCAAGGCGCCTTTGCCTGTTCACTGGAAACCCTGGTACAACATTCCACTCTGTGACTCGGATCCTGCACTACTGTCGATGAAGATTACATGATCAGTAGAAATCCTTTCATGGAGGGTGCTGGATACTTTGCTAACTAATCATATGTTTTTATCTCTCACTGATGAAGCAACCTAGTTGGTTAGGTCTCCGTCGATTTAAGGGTTTGGTCATGAGGATACATATCCTGTAGACTTTATTCATGTTGTTTTCATTATTGGTTTTGGCAGCTGGACGGAGGATGATGAGATTTACTACTTCAATTTTGAGTCGGGGGAAAGTGTTTGGGAGCACCCGTGTGATGAATACTACAGGTGAGATCCACTGAGTTTTGATATCACAGGTTTACTGGATGTAGTTTACTGAATCCTTCGGACGTGCCATTTACAAGTCTCTCTTTGTCGAGGCTGATCACATTGACATGCATCCCAAATTGCTCTTAAGTTGAACCAACGATTTGAGGATCAAAATGGCAGGAAATTGTATGTGGAGATGGTGTCGAAGAAAAGTGCGAATTTCCAGCAACACCGAGCTCTGGACTCTTCTTGTCTGCAAACCATGTCGGCGTTGGAACAGGTAAGATCCTTTAAAGAACAGTAATGGTTCTGAAAAGAAAGAGGTGAAATTGGTGAATCAGGTCCTTCATGCACAGCGATGTTTAGGGGAACTTGTTGATAGCTAGGGTGAAAAAAATAAACGAGTGTTCAGCTGCAGAATAATGACATGTTTAAACGACATGAGAGACCTTCGTTTGGGAGCTCGGGACCAGAAGTACAGTCACCTGACCCAGTTTCGCCGGCGCGTCAGCTGAATTGGGAACCTCCATATGCAGCGTCTTCTTCCTACAATCCCAATACTCCGATGCACCATTCTCAAAGACAAGACTCTCCTTCCCAACGTCTTGTGCACACAAGTAGGTTCTTCACTGCATGATCCATGTTTTCCTCTTCACATATTTGAACTTAATAATGCATTGTTAGTCATTGGCCAAAAACTGCACAAAGTTCTGAAGCGTGTAAAGCCTTACCTGTTTTCGTGAGCCCATTTGACTTCAATCACTATCATTTTATTCAAAATTGAGCTTGTCATTTTGTTCAAATTCTTAAAAAACCGAACTCTAATGTCACGAAATCCTGAAGGACTTTATCCGAAACTTCCAGTAAAAGAACTGGGGGAATTGTTCCACAGTCCTAAGCTGGCACGTTTTTAGAACAGGCACGGATCGAGAGGGATCAGTGCACATTCTTCTAGTTCTTCTTCTCCCACTTTGGGTTTTCGAACCACGAGTTTTACACCCAAGCTTATATAGTCGGTGATGGAAACACAGTTTTCTAAG